ATATGCTTAAATGCATTTCAAAGAAGTTGTGTTGGAGTTTGTGTTATTCTACATTTTGACACCAAGATTTTCTGATTTTACTGCAAATGTATATCGGTTCCAAATATCGGTTATCGGTCTCCTTGATTACTAATAATCGGTATCGGCCTTGAAAAAGCCATATCGGTCGATCCCTAGTCCATAATGTTCACTTTACCGAACTTGAGACCGGTGCAGGTTGCACATTGTGTCACTGGCACTAAACTCTTGGACTTTATTTCTATTTCTTCGTGTTTTATTGTTTCACGCATAAGGCTTATTCTATTTCACAGTGTTGGAGGAGCCTGGGACTTCAGATTTGTAATGCCAAAACTAATGTTCATATCACAGCAAGATTCATGTTTGAAAGATGGTCACCATTGACACAGCTCATACCAGAACTCTCGTCAAACCTTTTTGGCCCTCATTTCATTTCATTCACTGTATTTGTGGTTGTTGTTTGGGTAATATACTATAATAAATATATAAAGTTATTGTATAGTTCCATTCACTGTTGTTAAGAGAGGTGCAGTATGCGTACTGCTCACTGTTATTCGATTGGATGTATGTCCTAATAACGTCCGGAGGAGACCATGAAAGTATTTATATAATTTGTATTATACGTATGTTTAAAAATAAATAAAAGGATAAATAAAAATGGACACACTTCTACTACTACGGATGTTTTTTACTCACATCGATGGTTTTGTCGCTGAAGTACTTGATGTACTCTGGTCCCATATAGAGAGGAGGCTTACAGGTCATCAGAAACACTGAGACAACAGAGAGGGAAACATGAGGGCCCGAGTTAGAACACAGAAGATATAGTTATATCCTTGCCGACAAAGCGGCATAGGAACTTGAAGTATTGGATAAACATCCACTATATTTGCGTTGCATTTTGAATTGGATTTGTTGACGACAGGACAGGAAGCAATGTGTGAGGTGGACTGACCGATGCAGAGCGTCAGGTACAGCAGGCCTATCCTGATGTCCAGCCTGAAGAACAGGATAACGTTGGCCACTTTGCTGAACAGGATGATGTTGCCCAAATGCTGCTCCACCGTAACTGACATGAAAACATACAGAAACGTTCATTCTTTGTCCAAAATACATCCACATCAGCAGGGTTCATGACGCTCATTTGAGATCCCGAGCAGCACAGGTATATGACTGTTAAAGAATCATGCATTTGTTTACTCTGACTTCCTGAAGCTGCTTCTTTATCAGCCAAGCGTCAGACTAAGAAAGGCCATATATTCATAATGCTGCTCAGGAGGAACTCTGAGAGTAAAACAGGATGTTGTTGACTCACTCGCTCGTCTGTTCTTCATCATGACAATGGCACTGAGGAACATGAGGATCTCCACCTCCCTCTGAGAACACAAACAGAAACTCTGTTATCCACCCAGAAAGCTTAGGACATGTTGGGGCACTGTGATGTCATGTTTAGTGTAATACTGCACTGAAGTCAGTATGAGGGACAAGTGACAAAGACAAAGAGAACTGCTGACAGAATGTGTACCGTCTGAAAATGAAACATTCACAAGAAGGAAAAGACTGAGTCTAAATCTAATGTTGCATATGTGTACTTACAATATGGCACCACTATTACAAAAATAAGGCAATCAAAATTGATAAATATTTACTTGAAATATTGTCTTTTGTGTTTAATCATTGTTTTGTACCTATGTACCCCTGAAATCAATGTTTTGTGTGTATATATATATAATTTGAATAAAGGAGAAAAAAAAGTTCTTGATTTGGATTCTTTGAAGAGGTCCAAACAGGTCACGTGCTTATTCCATTGACAAAAATAGTTAGTTATTGATTCTTTGTATGCAGGACAGGTGTATGTTAACTGTAAATTAATTTCATAATTAGATTTCTGGCATTACATAACATGATTCATTCACTTACTAGTTAGTACTAATGGTTCAGTTTGGATCCGTGTCCTCTAACGTTATCTAGCTCAAACTCAAACATTACTGAATGGATCAACGTTACTGTTATTCATGTACTGAATTCTCACAGCTGTAACCAACCCACTGCAATGATCACATTTCATTTGGTCCAGGATAACGAAGAAACTGAAACAAGTTGAGTCTTTTTTTGAAATCCCTCTTATGTGTTTGGGAACCACAGAGAAGACATTTGCAGACTTTACTGTTATTAACATATATGAAACACAAAACAGTCTAAAAGAACATGCACATTGTTTAATAATGAATGTATTTATAGGGACATTATGGTTAGTGGTGCTCTTTCTAGCCTAACAGCTACCTTGGTGCTGACGTAGCATCTAGGTGGCTGCTAATAAGAAGCTGTGGCAGTGCTATGCTTGTGATTGGCTCAGGCAGGTGTGTAGGCGGGACCTTCATACTGTTGATTTGCTCTCAATTATAGCATTATTTTCTGCCAAATTAATACTTAAATAGTTTATAGGAAATGATGAACACCACATTATGAAGCCTTTATTGTAAATTCCATTAAGAATTAAATATGTGACAAATAAACATTTTTTAAATTCATGATAAAAACGATTTCATAAAAGAATAGTTGTCTCACTTTGTTAATAAACACAAGTAATCAGACACTGGTTGGGTTGTAGTTTACAGTGTGTCCTGATTAAAACCTTTAAATACATTTGAGTTCAAATGTACTAAATAAAACGACGTGGTTGGAAATCACAAGATTACAATGAAAGCAGATCAAGTATATTATATATTTCCCGGCCCTAAACGGGGTTTTTAATGATTTAGTGAAATCTTAGGAGCTTTCTTGAATATTGGGGAAACACTGGGCAGATGGTCAGTGACAGACTGGTTTGGGGATTGTTGGATATATTACAATGAACCAGTTCTTTTTTTTTGGATCCTATGAAGAGGTCAAAACACAACATTTCTGGCATTAAATAATATGATTCATTACTCATCATAAATTATCATTTTTCATTCCTTCGTTCGATGGTGCAGTTTGGATCAGTGATGTCCTCTAACGTTAGCTAGCCAACTCAAACCAATCCTGAAGGGATCAACGTTACTGTTATTCGTGTACTAGAATAAACTCTGATTTACAATGAGCCGTATTTAGTATACATCTCTTAATTAATTAAAAGAGTGATGCATTACGTTGAGTTTTTGAATATCTCTGGCAAAAAGCAAAAGACTATGAATTTGCAGGTTTGTGACCCTAGTTCGGCCTGTCATTCTCCCTGTAGCTAACAGCTAATGACACCTGCCAGCTAACGCTAGCTCTTGCCGTAAACCTGCCCGATTACCAGCACGCTAGTAACTTCATACGGTGCCTATTATTACAATATATATAATTATACATTTCTACGGACCCAGTCGAAGTCGCAGGGGTTGCCGTCCTCCCGCTGTGTGTTCAGTTGGTCGCAGATGCCAGGCGTCTTTCGGACAGCTAGAAAGGCTATGGACATAAATAGAGAGGCTACATAGTAAGGCTTCAGAAGCCACTTGTACACCTGTGGCAGGTGGTACAGAAACGCAAACAACGTCGTTAGCAGAGCCATTTTCTGTAAAACTGTCGTCGGCCTATAACTAACACTGTAAATGAAGCCCGAGAACACCGAAGCTGGCAGCCAGTGATGAAGCAGCTAGCTTAATATGAATATCTAGTTGCTAGCTTTCTACGTGGGAAAGTCGCCGGAAATCCTACTTCCTGTTTACGATGTTCAAAATAAAAAAAAGCATGCCCTGTGTGATATTTAAATGCAATTTAATCTAATTGTAATACAATCAAAGAATAAATAAGTTAAATATTTTTATTTTACACATTTTATGTATGTTTTTATTTAATGTACTCCAACTTTGCACCCCATCTGAAAATAGAATCGCTTTTAATGTGAAGGTGGGAAACCTCTCTTCCTGTGTAACTGTTGTTACTTCTTGGTAGCTTCTTTTGCCTATTCAGTTTGCAGTGTGCGGACTACGGAGGTCAATCAGGACGAATGTGTTACCAGACGCTGATTGGTCAGGAAAAAGTAAAGGTCACAGCTGATTGGTTCAAAATGATACAATGCAATATTACATTTAGCTTACTGCAGGATTTCAAGCTTTGATTTTCTAATTGTGGGTGCTATTTCACCTAAAGTTGCATTACATTAATGAACATCATGTGAACACAATGTTATTTTGTAATACTGAGAGTCATGATCATCTCACTGGATATATTTTGCACATATCTGCACAGCCCTCCACTTTAAAATATAATATACTGCAGTTCTTCATATATTGTCATATATTCTTATTATATTATTTTGTTTATGTTTGCACCAACATATACCAAAGCATATTCCTTGTGTGTGTAAATGTACCTGGCAATACATGAATTACATAAGTATAGAAGTGCACACAAAACTGTCCATACCATGGGTAGCCTACATACACATTTTATAACAGAATAATTATCATTCTGAAAAATCGGTTTAATGAATTGGACTTATGCGTTGCTCAAATAAGAGCTTTAGAAAATCAGCTACTTAGTATTAATTGTGTTCTTATTCATACTGTGTGGCTGCTTATGGGGAGTCATATTGATGCAGTTCTTGGATTATAAAAAAAAAAAGATCTAGGAAGAAATCAATCAAATGTGGTTTGGAGTTAGCACATCTTTTCTTGTGAATGTGGAACCAAATATACTGTATATACTGTATATTTGGTTCCACATTCACAGAAGAACATATGATAATACAATAAAAAACATCACTCCACATGTTTGTTGTATTCATATTGTGAATGCACTGAATAAAATCCACCTGAGACAATGATATACAAAACATTTATATATAAATGTACATATGCATAGAGGTGACAGCAAATAACTAGTAAGGAATCTAAGAGATACTCTGCATTGCAACTCTGCATCAACCCATTGGTACTGTGAATACACTAAATACAATATTCAAAAAAAAGACAAAATTGTATACAAATAAATCAAATCAACAAAAATGTAATGCTCAGAAAAAAAATCAATGAATCCAACTAAAACAGTTCATTTAAAAAACACTGACCAAAAAAAAAAAATCTGCAATAAAGGTGACAGAAATAAATAAATAGTTCAAAGAGAAACACTGCATTGCACTCAAAGAATTATTTTAAAATCAACCTTGCCTGCTGCAAATTCACTTAATACAATACTTACATTCTTTGCATCAATCTTTTATCAAATGACATGTTTCTTAAATCAAAATGCAAAACATGTAACAACAAATATATGACATTTTAAGAAACACATTTAAGAAAAACTCATTCTTGGCACTTAATAACTCCTCATGGTGTCCGGGGTCCTCCTCTTTATTGTATGAACCTGGACCTCAAGCTCTCCTCCTGTCCAACATTAAAAGAGAGTATTTGTCACATGTTTTAAATACATATCAAATATCTGATTAAAAGGGGTACATCAGAGTACTATGTGTTTTGTGGATGTTGCTTTTAAAGCCATAATACCCAATTCAAATTCACCTTGTCCTGTCCAGAGGTGGGAAGTAATTAAGTGCATCTACTGTACTTGATTACAATTTTGAGGGTTCTTGTACTTTACTTGAGTGTTCCCATCTTTTGCTACTTTGTACTTCTGCTCCACTACAGTTCAGAGATAAATGCTGTACGTTTACATGTATTTAATCCCTTTAGTTACTTTACAGATGTGGATTAATGATGTGAAATCTAATCAAGTGTTAAATCAGACTTTCGTTCCACCTGGAGTAAACTCACAAGCTACCCTGCAGTATACAAAGTCATTCAAACTAGCTGCACCTTTACCAGCTTTGAGAACACTTTCATGATCAATCATTATAAAACATATCATATATATTATTCTGAAATGGACCAATCTGCACAATGACTACTTTTACTGTCGCTACTTTCACTATATGTTGATGAGAATACTTTTCTACTTTTACTGTAACAGAGTATTCCCACACTCTGGTACTTCTATTCAAGTACAAGATCGGAGTACTCCTCCTACCTCTGCTCCTGTCTGTCCATTATTTCCAGTTCAGCTCTTGACAAATGGTCGACAATGGCCACGCCGATGCAGTCTCCCAGAACGTTAACAGCAGTGTTGAGACGATCTCTGAAAGACAAACATCAGGGGGTGGGGGTATGAGCCTCTTCACACCATGCTGTTTGAGGTCAGGGGAAGCATCCTTTCCAAAACACGCTATGGGTTAACTTACAGCAGCCATTCTAACACCAGCAGAAGGGAAGCATCCCTCGCAGGGATCCCAATGACGGTCAGAATAAAGAGAGTGGTGACCATTCCTGTAGCTGGGATGCCTGCTTCTCCCACGCTGGACACTGATACGATCAGACTGCAGAGGGAACACAACATGAGTAAGAGGAGTGGAACAAGTGGAAAAGATTGACGTCTACGAGTCCTTATGGAAAAGGGGAAAAAAACTACGAGTCTTTATGGAAACATTTAGAATAACGAGCAATCCTTATGGAAAAATGTGGATTTCTATGTAGGCGTATAATTAAAGAAAGATATTCACAGATAAACCTTTTTAAAAAAAAAGGTGCTGAAGTTCAGCTTTATAAAAAATAATACACATAACTAGGGCCAGGAAAGGGTGGGTGGAGGGGGTCTGGAGGACGGGTCTCGGGCGGACGGCCCGGGGGCAAGGCAGAGACCAAGGAGGGGGTC